AGGAGTGATGAAATTCAGGGTAATTAGGTGTGTCTGGTTTACAAAACAGGAAATGTGGTTAAGCTCTCCATTCTCCTCTGGTGTAGAGGGCTTGGAGAATCTGCTATTCAAAGTCTAGCTAAAAAGAAAGTTAATGCAAACTTCATCAACACAATGAAATGCTGTAAAAAAAAAAAAAAAAAAAAAAGAAAGCTACAAGTATGTGATAATGAATTCCAAAGTCACAGAATAGTGGAAATGTACATGTGGTGGTTGCTTTTCCTGAGACACAGTAGGTGAATTAATAATGTGCTGTGTATAATAAAGGAAGACATTTTCTAATAGGCTTTGTTTCCGCACAGGAAATCTAGTCAACAATAAACGGGCTGGTTGACTTTAAGATGAGTTATAGCAGTTTCATATATTGGCAATAACAGATTTTAATAACTGTATATTCTTTTCTTTAAGGTTGAGCAATTTATTCATTGTAAGATTCTATTGTTAATGGTCCCAGATATATTTTTGCCACTGAAAAACATAGCTCTATTGAATGTTGAGTACTGGCTATAACTTTTATAAAGAGCTTATACAGATTTAACACTGTTAGCATCATTATAGGTAGCATTGCATTTTCCTACAGTTTATAGCAGTAGACAATTTTTTTCCTTTTTGTTAATTTCATTTGTATGTTTCATATGTAGCATTTTCATTACTTTTAGTGGTGATTACTAATGTTTATATTAGTTAGTGTATTTTATTATTTTCTCAATTGTTGCTTGTTGTTCTCAACATTGTATTACAGTATGCATTCCTCTCTCAGCTTTAGCATAATTATTGATTTAGAAAGTATTACATATAGGATATGATAATTATATATACATATTTATATAGATATATAATCAATGTTATCCTTGACTGAGAAATATTTTGTGAGGTAACTTAGTTTTGAATAATGTTGATACGATTATCAGACATGCATCTATATGCATATAATGCTGTTCAGTTTTTGAAAGAGTCCGAAACTCCTTGTACCTTCTAGTCTGTTCTAGTCAATTTGATAAGAATTTATATTTAGAATATATTATATATATTTATATATTCCACTTGTATGTAAAGACTGCTTCCTCTGTAGTGCCAAGTGTTGATGTGCACCAAACTGTTAATTACACGATCAGTGGATGTGATCCTTTGAATAGGTGACATTAAGGTCCAGATTCTTCCTGACAATACAGTCAAGATCAGCCTTATGAGAGTGTGCTAACAATGGGTCACTTTAAGTGATTGTATTCTTTCCAAATACACACAAAAATCACATTAAAGTATAACAGAGTAGATGCCCAAGATTGCTAATCAGTTTACTTCCAGACATTAATGTTTTTGCTATTGTTTGTAGACAAGCTAAGTCTTTGCCACTTAATGATTTAAAGCATCATAAATGTCATTGTCATTTGGTGATTACAGCATTGAAATGAATACACTAAACATAAAGGCAAAATATGTGAATGGAATTAAAATATATGGGTGGGATCGGTGAGGAGAAAATTACTTCATGAGGACTTTGTTATTGATACAGTAAATTACAGCAATCAACAGCACTTTGGTTTAGATATAAAAGTCATTGGTAGACTGAACCGTAACTGCTGTCATAATATGACAATTGAAAAGTCAGAGGGAAATGCTGACAAGTCAACAAAATGTGGCTGGCATTCCATGTTGGAACTTTGTAGTTCAGAAAACCACCTGGACTAAACTGGCAACTGCAGTAAATTCATGTGTTTCTTTGCTACATACACACATCAGATCATATTGGTGTTTTATCTTGATATTCATTAAGCAATTTTTACCTACGGGCAGTTTTGCCAACGTGCCAAAGAATCAAAGTTTCCATCCTCCAGGCATGAAGCCCATCGGAAGCAGAGTCAGCCAATATTTTTATACGTTTGGATAATAATGATATCGAGGGTATTTTTTATCATCAGTGTTTAGATGTGAATAACGTCCATTAATGGTGTAACAATATGTATGAATATGTACAGACACACATGTCTCTCTCTCTCTCTCTCTCTATCTCTCTCTCACACACACACACTCACACTCACACTCATGCACATGCACTCACAAGCACGCACACACACTCATGCACATGCACGCACTCACAAGCACACACACATACTCACAAGCAAACATGCACATGCGCACACACATGCATGCGTGCACACAAAACACACAACACACACACACACACACACACACACACACACACACACACACACACACACACACACACACACACACACACACACACACACACACACACACACACACACACACACACATACACACATACACACATGCGGGTGCTCACACGCAGACACACATATCTCTGTCTCTCTCTTCTCTTCTCTCCTCTTCTCTTCTCTCCTCTCCTCTCTTCCTCTTTTTCCTCTCATCTCCACTCCTCCTGTTTTGTCTGCTCTCCTCTCCTCTCTTTCCATATATACATATACATATATATATGGATAAATATTTTTATGTTATTTATATACATAAAATATATATATTTATATGTATGAGTATATTTGTAATATGTGTGTGTGTGTGTGTGTGTGTGTGTGTGTGTGTGTGTGTGTGTGTGTGTGTGTGTGTGTGTGTGTGTGTGTGTGTGTGTGTGTGTGTGTGTGTGTGTGTGTGCGTGCTTGCATACATGCACTTGTCTGTGTATGTATGCAAGCATGCTCAGATGCATGTGTGCACTCTTGTTAATGTGCACATGCATGTGTGTGCAAGTGTGCGTGTGCGTGTGTGTATGTGTGTGTGTGTGTGTTTGTGTGTATGTATGTGTATGTATATGCATGCATGCATGTAATATGTGTGTGTGTGTGTGTGTTTGTGTGTTTGTGTGTATACACATGCATCTGCATATATGATTAACTTTTTAATTCATGTAAAAGAGCTGCATCACTTCTGGTCAGTTGCTGAGCTTATGGCATGAGGAAGTATGGGACTAGTTACCCTGGTTTCTCAAATGACACTGGCTGCAGTTGTTGACAGGAGCTCAACAAGTGTGGTGAGGCGGTCAAAGGCTGTCACCATATTCTTACAAAATAGTAAATGATTTGTGCCTATATTACTGTACCAGCTGTAAAGTCATTTGTACCATCCTCATATATTGCATAGTGAACATGCCATCCTCATAATATTTATAGTACATATTATACACTTCATGGAACATGTCGCTTCAAGTTGTGGACTATTTTACTAAGGTTATGAACAAAACACTTAAAATGTATAATAGAATGATGATACTGATGATTGTAATGATTAACTCCAAAGCTTTCTTTAAGATAAGTCTTCTCTATTTTATTGAACAGAAATGATATGTATTTTATGAATCAAAATAGGAAATCAAATAAAGTTGGACACTATTGAATTAGAACATTTGTAGGTTGTTTCAAATCTTGTAGGAACAGGTCCCTTTTGCAGTTATTTATTATGCGTAATAAATTGTTATAAAAATCAATGCTGTTTTATATTTACTCTATTCAAACACATGGACCAATTTTTTATGAATTAAAGACCTGAAGTGACAAGGCCATATCAGTGACCTTGTAAAAGAAATATGTGCAAGACTGAAGATAAGAAAGCTTTATGGAAGCCTAAAGAGCACAGTGAAAGTGAATTCTGAGGTAAGTATAGGCTTGTTGTTTGTCAATTGATATTTTAATTGCTAGTTTGTGGACATTTAATTATTCAGAAGATACATAAATACTGAGTCATAAAGATTAGTCACCTCTCTTTCAGGTGCAATACAATAATTGACTGCAGTACAGCTGGCCTGATATACTCAACTGAATATGTGAGTAGCTGTAGTAAGCTATGTAACTGAGGTACATTTCTCTATACAGGTACTAAGGGATTTCTCGGAAAAATATAGGTGATTTCAGAATAAAGTCAGAATCCTTGTAGAGCCCTTGTGGTACCAAGCTATATTTAGCAATACTATTGTAACAGTAGGAATGTGGAATTTAACAATTGTCAAATTAGTTGCTCAAACTAACCTTGTGGGTGGTAGAAAAGCAGGAAAGGATCTGATTGGGTAACCAAATAGTGCAAATGTGTGCATGAATTTATGTAGAGGCTGGCAATAAGTAGATATTCTGAGTAAAAGAGGTAAGAGATTACCATAAATTTTGCTTATATCATGTAATAAATACTAGGATTATTTCAGTGATATTTCATTGATTTGAATAATGTTGCCCACTCAAATTCTGTTGTAGAATGCAATTTTATTTTTTATTTTTTGTCCAGATGTAAAATCACAATAATTAAAAAGCATTTTGATTTGAAAAAAAAGTTTATGATGAATATTTTCTTATTAATACTTAATTTGGCTGACAGTGCCATTAACCCAATGTCCCCAGGAAAATGCTCTGTTCACTGTAGTATTTTTTGTGAAATGTCTATACACATAGATTACTCTGACAGTGCTTAGCCACAAAGGAGTCAATTAGTATACTTTGGGGCCTAACCTGAATTCACCTTTCCTAGAGTTTATGGGAAAATGCTTTTTTACTAATGTTATCAATATTGATTCTGTTATTTTTATTTTAAACATCATAAAGAGTTATTGATATTGATATTACTAACAGCAAATTAGATACGGGAAAATATAGAAAATCAAGGCAAAGGGCAAACAGGTGAGACAGGTTGTTCTTGTCAGTGGCTCATTGGTGGGACCACCTATATGTAAAACAATTTCTAAATTAAACACATTGGGCATGGCATGTATGCACATGCCATCCCTGGCAGCATTAGATTACTTATTTTATGCTTCAATGCACTGCCAAGTATAAGAAGCTTATTAATATCTTGGCATAGTAAGACAATTATAAATATATGAAACAGTTCCTTTTTTCTTTTAGAAAGCAGCACCAATGAGCTTTGTCATGAAATAAATGAACATTACAATGAAAGATAGGTGTATTCTGCATTACAAGTTTCTGGCTAATAAAAAGATGGAATAACATAGGTAGTGTTTATTTCTATGCTACAGGCATGGTGCAGCTGTTTATAACAGGAGAAAACAATTATATGAACATTTTTTTTCAATTTTGTTTAAATTTACTTTTATGACGCCTGCTACGGCTCACAAAATTGCATATTACATGAACTCCACAGCCACATGATAAAATGTTAGTATAAAGTTACTTATAAAGAAGAAAGAATGAAAGAAAAATATGTTGTACATATTACAGGACACACATTGGTGCTGCAACCAGTGACAAAAAAAAATCAGTTTTCAACTGAACAACTACCTACAAATTTTGATATAAAGAGTGCAGGTTATATAGCATATTTACAAGTGCAAGATCCAAGAAACATGTCCCGCTTGTGTAGTTTATTTGAATATACATGACTCTCGCTGCTACTCGCAATTATCAATGATGATGCATCATTTGCAACATTTAATAGTAAAGCCAATGAGCTTTTATAATAAGTAGGGGTTAGACTGTAAAAAGAGGCAGAAAACTAATTTTACTTACATGATATGATAGCACAGAAGCAGACAGTTCTAGGTCATATAAACTAGATTTTAAAGGCTACAATGAATGTGAACAAAATTTCAAACACGAGGTAGCGCGATAGCCTACTATATTTACATAACACCACCATCACATTTACTGTTATCCATCCTAGTCCTCTTGCATTAACTTACTTCATAATTAGTGATTGTTTCTCTACATCAACCTTCCCTTGCAAGGGGAAAGGAGAGAACTTTGGGTTTCTGGGAGTTCTTGAGATCAGAAATGATGAAAAAAGTTGGTCAGGTCTGGCCATGGAGATGGGTTAGAACATGAGTAAAGCTAAGACTAAGCGGTCACTAACGTTCCATGAGAGCTGACTGCTTAGAGATCCTAGCAAACCACTGCCATGAGAAGCAATAACTGAATGTTTACTTTTTTGTCATACATACATAAACCTCTTTAGGGCACAGCACACACATAATAAATATATATACATATATATACATATATAAATATATACCTATACATATGCATATATATAAATATATGCTGATTTGAAATATTTTTGCCTTACCTGACCAAATCTTAACTGTAATCTTTACTTGAGTTCACCATATTTACAAGTTGCCTACTGTACATCCCCAACTAAAAGATCTATGTACGTACATAACATTACTTTGTAGAAATGTTTTTTTTTTTTAATGCTACCATCCTTATCTATGTTAAATTAACTCTCAAATTTCAATTCAACATTTGGCACTTACAACAAGGCATTTACAGCTCATAAAATCAGTAACAAAATATAAACTCTATATACACACAGAACAACACACAACTATCACAGTTCAGTGCTAATTTCATCACCTGCTTCACCTTTCTTGGCTTTACCATTTGTTACATCACTTCCACTGTTATCGCTCTCACTGTTTCCACTAACCTTTGTATCAACATTTTTGTTGTTCCTCAACTGTGATTTATCAGACTTGAACATTACATTCTTACTGTTATTACTGCTGCTACTTTCCACCTCATAGCAGTCACTGGAGTGGTCTTTCACGTGACCATTGAGAGAAACCTTTGAAAAACCATTTAGGTGGCCATTGCCAAAGGTTCTGAAGTTCCCAGTGCTGTTTCCACTGTCCTTCATATGACCATTCAACACACATCCACTAATATATTCTTGGTCAAAGGTATTTGTGCGGCCATTTTGGAAGCTGCTGAGCTGATGGCCTTTATTTCCATTATTCATCTGGCTGCTGATCTTATTGTTGGTTATTGGGATAAATTCACTTGACAGAGGTCCAATAATCCCACTGCCCTTTGTAGAGTAGCCATTGAGTGGGAGGCATGTCTTGTTCCCACCGCCATTTATGTGCATGCTATCCATGTATGAGCCGCCATTGTGGGACCCATTGATCTTGACTGATCCCTGGTCGAAGGAGTTGATGTAGCCATTTGTGTCACTCATTACCGCAGTTGATGTCTGTTGGAGAATGGACTGTCTTAATATTTATACTTCAGGCAAGGAGGATACATAAGCATTTACCAAGAAAATGTATAATTCACTTATATAATGCAAAAAGCCATTTCATGAATTCATCAGATATTACATATATTGCCAAACTAACGTTCTGTTTAATCGGTATTTTAAGTGTTAATATACTACACATTAAGATAATCTTCCATGCTAAGGATTAGGTAAATTTTCTTTGAATACATTTCTTGATTTTTTGTGATATTATATAGATAACTTGTTAATCATTAACATTTTTACACTGTACAACAGGCACAGTATGATAGTTTACAACATTAAATAAGCAACATGAAAATTAAAGGAATCAATGGCCAAGATTGCTATTAATGACGAGACAAAGCTTTTCAAGTGTTTAGACAAACAATACATACTATGACAACTCCCTTTGCAAACATCACATTAATTTGCAGGATACAGCATATTGCACTGTGACAGGCAAAAGTGTTACATAAAGCATATTTACATATACCAACTCCAACTAATTATATATATATATATATATATTAGGTGACCAGTTATTTAGTTCGTTAGAGTAAAAAAAAATTAGAACCCTTACACAATTGTAATATATTTTTTAAATTATGACAATTTAAATTAGTCAAGTTATTGCTTATAAACAATGAAATGTATTCATTGTAATAAATGTCAATCAGCCAAAGAAAGAAAAAAATAAATAAAACACATGCACTGCTTACTGAACAAATGAAATACCATGCAGTAACATTACTCTGATGCAACATGCAAACAACTTCTAATGGCAAGGTATGCACGCTTTACAATACTGTCCCTAGTCATTCATTCCAGTCTAAAGTCAGAAGTCTGAGTCACCCTAGAGAGAGAAGGTGGAGGAAGGAATTTCAGAGTGATAATGTTACTTGTGTGGCTGGACAACGCAGGCTTCCTGTCCAGCGAATGGGGCAGGTGATAGCCCAGGCCTGATATGTTAAAAGACAACGAGTGATTTCTCATTTCTCTCTATGATTGAGACCAAAAGCATCACCTGCTGACTTGTTAACTTCCTACTTCTACTTGTTAGTGTACACTTTATTACAATACATTATAAGTAATAAATACAGTAGTTTGGTTACTTGTACATAGAAACAAAAATACACTTATTTGAATGTAGCCAAAACTGAGCAAACACAACTTTCTACTTTGTATGCAATATCAAAACTGTTACCCAATCAATCCTCATTCCTCTTTCCTGCACGTATGGGGGGGGGGGTATTATGATTATTATATATTATAAGGGAATTGTGTATCATGTATGTATATGCGCGCTACTGCGGCTCAGGTGGTGTGTGCACACATTTATTGAAAATGAGGAATGCGGAACTGATTGTGGTATTACTGATTTTTTTTTATTCCTGGTCACACCAGGCAAGTAGGTCCAACGTTAATATACTTCAATTACCATAACCCATATCAATGATTATACTGTCAATGCCTATACAAGAGATCAATGGAAACATCCTCACCGCAGGGTCTGCCATGGCAGAGCCCCTGCCTCATGGTGGGAAATGGCCCAACCAGTAGTGACTCTCGTACCCCAAGCAGCAGTTGTTCCAGGAAGTGACCTCATACTTACTGCATGGCGCTCTGAATAAGCGGCCCGAGGATCAGTTTCCAAGCTGCCTGCACTGCCCCTGCGCGTATGCCCGCCCACAACCCGCTGTGCTGTGAACAACATAACAGTGTCCTCAGTCACTGCCCACTACCCTGCCCTGCCCACAGCTTCTCTGGCTTACCTTGTCTGTGGCAATCTCTCCGTGGGATACAAAGATGGCTGTGCCCATTTGGGAATCCGTCAAACAAGGACCCTTAGGATTGAGTTCCTTCATGCCATGATAAATCCACTTTACTGATATTCTTGAGAAAAAAAAATATATTGATGCCTTGTAGACATCTTGCTCTTGATTAGTGACAATGTGAATCGCTGGGATATATTAGTCAATGATTTTCTATTTCATATGGAATTGTATATTAATGCTAAGTCCCATGCAGGCATAAAGTAACATTAGCATGATGGATAATTTCAGTCCAGGGACGCAAGTTAGGCATAAACACAGGGGTTATATGGGGATGACGGAGCAATGCCAATCAGGGAATTTAAAGGGGGTGATGGAACACATGCAAGTACAGGGTTAAGCTAGGGGGTGACAAGAGCCGCTGTGTGCTGTGGACAGTGGTGGTAGTGGTGGTGCTTGGCCAGGGGGAGACATGGCGGTGGAGGCACAAAGATTTTGACAAAGAAGCAGCTGGGTAAATGATTGTCGTGTGTCAAAAGTGTCATATATTTACAAAGGTCAAAGGCCAAGTCTTCTGATATCATAAATTGAATAACTTTAATACTTTCCAACATTATTTCCTAATGCAAAGACTGAAGTCTTAGTAAATGGCAAGAGGTACCAGGAAGAAAATTTACATCCATCTTAAAAAGAGCTTGGCTATATGTCACTGGTTTTATGAATCTGTTTGTCTAGTAGTATGGGTAATTAACTATCAACATTTCAACCAATGTTGAAAGTATTACTGATAGTACCTATGATGTATGTGCGGTTTCTGTTACCGCTGCTTCTTGTCCTTTCTGGCCATCAACTATAGATAAGAACAAAACATAATCATAAATGCTACAGCTGTCATAAAGCGTCAATTACTTGCAGTTACAGACTGTGCACAAACAGGAATGAATAAGGGCCTTCAAACTAAATATGTGAAAAATTATATGCCATAACAAAAAGGTGCCAGTGCTGCTTGTTGGATAAACAAAAGAAGGCCTTAACTTCCAATTCAACTGCTGCAAAACACATGGCTCAGGTGCCTTAAGCTCGCATGGAGCAAAAGTAATTGAAACATGAAAACACAATAGCTTATGAAAATCCAGTGTAAGACTAAATATCTGGATTATTTTCTTTAGTCTCCATGTGAATTTAAGGTTTCCAACCAGTGTGAGCAACAAAAGCAGATAATCATAGTAAAGAAGTTTTGGTCTGAGAGACTTCAAAAGACAATGTTGGTGTTCCTGAAGGTGTCTGTATACTATCTTAATTATATTTCTCATTCAAAGAATATCAAGTGTAATAATAATAATACCTATCAATGTTATTCAGTGTGTTGGTTGTTAATCTTACTGGTAAAATAGGAAGGCTTTGCCATATTGTATTTAGGAAGTCAACTCTCGTGACGGGTCTTCCCAAGTAGAAGGCAGTTTAGAGTCTTGCTGAGGTAGTGTTTGAGGTCGTGCTGGAAGTATTGCATTTGGAAATTGCATTTAACTAACTGTGCAGGTGTTTTTGCAGACTGTGTAGTATATAAAGATGTGCTTGGTGCAATATAATCAGAATTTAGCTGTGCTAAAGTGGACTATAGGCATTACAGAGGCTGGTGTGAAAAGTTATAAAGTACAGGAGAAAGAGAGAGGAGTGGGGGAGGGGGAGCAAAGGAAAAGAGGGAGAGCGAAAGGGGAGAGGGGAAGGCGAAAGAGAGGTGGGAAAGGAGCGGGAGAGGGGGAGAGGAAGGCGTAGGAGGTTAGTGAGGGGGAAAAGGCGCGGTAGATGGAGGGGCAGGGGGAGGTGGAAGGAGAGGAAGAATTGCACAGGAGAGGGAGGGGGGGGGGAGGAGTGAAGGGATACAGAGGGAGATGAAGGAAAGAGATGGAGAGGGAGAGGGCAGAAGAGAAAGAGTGAAGGGATGGAGATGGAAAGGGGGAGGGATGGGAAGGGATGGATTGGGAAGAGGAGGGAAAAGGATGGAGGGGAAGGGAGGAAAGGATGGAGAGGGGAAGGGGAGGGAAAGGATGGAGAGGGGAAGGGGAGGGAAAGGATGGAGAGGGGAAGGGGAGGGAAAGGATGGAGAGGGGAAGGGAGGGAAAGGATGGAGAGGGGAAGGGGAGGGAAAGGATGGAGAGGGGAAGGGGAGGGAAAGGATGGCGAGGGAGAAAACGTACTTAGGTAAGGAATTAGAGAGAGAGCGGGAGAAACTACGAGCAAGAACACGGGAAGCGAGATAGACAGACTAGCATAGTGCGGTGTGAGTGCGCGATACTTACTGTTCCCTTTCAGCTCTCTTGACGGGACGACCTAGTGAGTTAGACCACTCTGCCTCTTCCCTGTAGGCATCCCAGTTATAGACCCTCCAGTGTAGGGCAGAGTGAGCCAGGTTAGTCCCATTGGTTGTCTGGATGCCTTGACTTGTATCTGATTCTTTTTTGTTGGAGGAAGAGGAATGGGGGGGTTTGCAGGAAGCCTTTTGACCCGGGTTAGTCTGGTTAGTCTGCGAGGCTGTAGTGCGGAAGATGTTGGTTTGGGAGCCAGTGGTTCTCATGAGCGGCCGGCTGGTACCTGTGGGCCGCGGGAGAGTAGCACTGGTGCCGCAGGAAGAACCGGAAGGAGCAGGTGAAGAGGAGGAGGTAGTCACAGATGAAGAGGGAAGTTGAGGAGGAGATATCCCCCTCGACAGGCCATAGCTAGAGCCACGCTGTTGAGGACGTGCTCCGGATCTCTGCAAAGAGTTAGTGCTATACTGGCTGCCAGTGGAGGTAGAATTAGAAACACTAGTGGAGGGACCATAATCTGGAACAATGTGGGTTGACGACTCACTACTGTGAACAGAAGATATGATAGACTTCTGGGTCTTGGAATAGGCTGACTACTGGAAGATAATGAAGACGAGGAAGAAGGGGAAGAGATGGGTGTAGACGTTCTATATCGTGGTAATGAATAAGGATGTTAGTGGAGTGTTGAGTCAAGGGTTCAAGGCTTGGGTACAGGCTTTTATTGTGGGAGACTGGCTGTTTTGTGTAGGTCGTGATGGTTGGGGGGAAAGTTGCTGTAATAGGGCTCTGGACTGTCACTGATGGTCGAGCAGTCATTGCTGTGGAGATGGTGTGTTGTCGAAGCTAAAGTTTTCATAGTTATGGTGGTCGTAGCTATTCTGGTGGTTGGTACTGGCGGTCAGGGTCAGGGACTGTTGGGTGGTGAAGGCATCTGGTGGTCGTGGTGGGTTGGAGTTGTTGTTGTCAGAGGTTATGGTGGTTGTGGAGCCGCTGGTTGAGGGTAGAGTCAGCAGATATACTCACACTGGAGCTACCAACGCTGATGCCTGATGTCACCGAAGATTGGACTCGGCTGAGTCTGTGGGAAGAAAGAGAACCACTCATAACAGAGAACATTAATATTTGCTAGTTATTTCCAAATACCAGTTAATTCCAGTAAAAGTAGAGATAGCTATAAAAAATGCAATTTAAAAAGAAATACTCACTTTAAAACAGCAGTAAAATGAGAGCCTCTGTCATTGACACCATTTTTCAAGATTGCCGCAGACGTCGGGACATAGCCGTTGCCGGACACGAAGCCCCCGCCGGCGTCGTCCAGGAAGCAGGAGGCTCGGTGTTGCGGCCTCCCGACGGAGTGTTGGCGAGGCTGTGTTGGCGCTGCTGGTGACCAGGGCCTTCACGCTGGGTCCGTTCACCATCACAGGTTTATGGGAACTGCTATAGCTGAGGGATAAGCTTTGTGTAAGATGAAGTTCTATGGATTTTATTTTTATTTTAAGGTTTATAAATGGGGGAAATGAGAAAGAGAGCAGACTAAATTCATTCAACGAGCAAAATGGCAGAAAAAATCTTGTCCACGGTATCGGTTTACTGAAAGATTCATTTTTTTATTGCAGTGATAAAATGACGTAAGTGTACTACTTTTCAATGCGAAACACTACACAGTCTCCTAAAATACATCATTCGACGGCAAATCATGACAATCACAGCACACGTAGACTGAAGACAATGGCCCTAAGCACTCAGCATCTCCCAATTACCAACCCATAGCCAGGAGTAGAGGAACCAGTCGTGTTGGAGGTCGAAGTCTTGACGGAGCGCAGGGTTTTGGTGGAGGAGTCGGCGTGGCCTCGGCGCTGGCTGGGGGAGTCCGTGGTGGAGCCGCGGGTGCCGCCGCCGACCTCGGGGCTCTTGATCAGGAGGGTGGGCACTGTGGGCGCCTGCACGGACCTGGGAAGGGAAGCGGAGGTCAGGTATCTAATGCATTATGCTTAACTATACTGACATATAATATGCAAAAGTGTGCGCGTACACACACACACAACACACACCACACACACACACACACACACACACACACACACACAACACACCACACACACACACACACACACACACACACACACACACACATATATATATATATAAACAATACTGCATGGAAAATAAATCAAATCAACAATATACAGTAAAAGAATAAACATGCATTAATATACACAGAACTATTCTACGTAACAAAAAGAGAACTAACGCATAATGCAAAAAGATACATGAAAAACGGCGAGAGAACCGAAAGCAAAACCTAAATCGAAATTGGGCAGAGCATTTTCGGAGGCAATACCTTCCATAAAAAATAAACACTAAAAAGACAACAAACAAACTAAAGCCAACGAAAAGTGAATCGGAAGCAAAAAAATCAGACTTTAATTAAGCCAAATTAAAACAATTGATAAAAAAGGTAGAACTTGCAGCTTCAGAAGGCAGTACGATGACTTCCTTACCTCTGAATCCCAGAGTGCTTGTAAAAACTTTAAAGAGTGTTGTTTATACAAGTCCTCGCGAATAAAAAAAAAACGATGCAGTGATTAATTGATTGAAATTTATCCTCATTAGCATACCCTAAATTTCTCATGATGGTGGGTGTGATCTTTTACGATCGTGTACAAACAATACAAATAAATCGTCATTTTATTTTTGAAAAAGTTTTTTTTTTTTACTTTGACAAAATACAAGGAAACACAGGCTTACGATGACAAATGATCCTTCTTGAAAACGATACAAACTGATGCAAAATACTCAAGATCTTAAAAATCACCTTAAACAGATGCCAAAAAGATAACACACATCGGTTGGGAATTCTCAACACAATCAACCAAATGAAATAAAAAATCTCCCAATAAAGCATATTTCTGAATTAGCAGTTGCCTTAAATTACAAAAGTTATATATATAATACTAAGCCTCGCTTTACAACACACTTCCTGTCTTAAGAGATTCAACACAACACGCTCAGTCGGACTTGGGATACTGTACATCGCTTGGGTCGTGTGTATCTGTTATCCTGAATGCACAGCGATGTATTTTGTTAAGCATAAGTGACAAATATCACAGGTGATTCATTTTATCACTGAAATACTTAATTCGTGGGAGTAATTGTGCGAATACTATATGTAATTCCTATACGATAATATTACGTAGAAAAGCATTTAGTTTAAAGGTTAAGTTACATACAGGATGACATCCCTTGATATGTGCATGCTTGCGTTACTATTGTATAGACTGTCGTGAATGAATATTTGTTACAGTTATATTAGTAAACAGTTAAAGAAGCAACTTAAGACTATGCACAGCCTGCACAATAGCAGCACTGTTTCCTTGGTACACAAGGTTATGCTATCTTAAATTAACGAGGTTCTGATTAAACCCTCCAATACTGCTTAAGGGTGAAGTTTCTATCACAGCAGCCATCTTCACAGAGCAACATTTCCATATAAGCTTCCAACACCAGCCACCGAATGCGCCTCCGGACGACTAAACGTGATTATCTCAAGCACTAAAACTGTCTTTTTTGGGGGAACAGCAGCAGAGAAAGACCACAACCCTGTCGGTTCTTGATGAGATGCACACAGCGCACGGAGTAAATTCCCTGCTTAAGAGGCATAAAACTGGCCCAGTCGTAGGAGTCCGAGGCGTGAAGTGCCGATACGGTCAGAGATAAAGGGATCAGCTGGCAGGTCTCGAGGAGAGGAGAATGAGCCAGGGAGGAAGGGAGGCGGATTTCTAGAAGGTTAGACGTAGAGATCTTGCATGAGGAGGATGTACCTTGGTCCAGGGGGCGCAGCGTGCCGTTTACCATCCCTCCTTCGGGATTCCTGACGCCAGGCCCTCCATCGCCGCCGTTCTCCTGGAATTGCACGGGAAATAGCATTTCAAAAATGCACTCTTTGTATGGATTCACATCCGCACACACAGAGACATGCACATAAACACGCACACACAGAGACATGCACATAAACACACACACACACCAATAGACAGACACAGCCAGATGGATATATATATATACCTTTATGTAAACAATTTTGTTACTTGAAATCAATATTTGCAATAGTACTCCATATTCATGGCGGGGAAAGTCAACAGACATGGTAAACAACACAAGACGACCTCGTACCTTCGTGACCTTCGGCAAGGTGTTTGTCTTTGTTGTTGGCGAAGGAGTATACGGAGGGGGAGGGGATTCCCCGTCAGCAGGCGGGGTGGCTTTCCTGTCACTGGAATTGCTAGTGACACCATAAAAGAACGGTATTAGGTTCTGTCAAAAATCTAATGGTTGTCTTTATGTACCATAATAAAACGAAAAGCAGAAAAAGCTGACTAAAAGACAACAAAAATAAGTATCAGTAAGTCAGTATGATTATTAATATTAAAAAAATTATAACAATTAAATTAAAGCAATCCCATAAAGCCTCGTGCACATGAGGAAAAAATCGCACAACAGTCTCCGACTTGACTGCCTCGCAACAATTGCGTGAGTCGCTCTGGGTATATGGGGACTTGTGAGGCAATCATGAAACTGCCCAGAGACGCTTGTGCGAAGTAGTATCTCGGTGTGTACGAGGTTTTATTTTCGGAGATAATTACAATTAAAGAAAATCGAGAAACTCACCTCTTGGAGCGTCTGGGACTCTTGTGCCGCTTGGTCTTGGGCGAAGTGTACTTGATCTTGATCGTCTTCGCCGTCTCCACCTTGGTGTACGGGATCTCCTTCAGCTCCGCCTCCGTCAGCCCCTGCGTCCCTTGCATCTCGAACTCGAGGTGTCGCCGCAGCTCGTCTGGCAACCGGCTGTTTTGGCCTCCGAGGGCGACCTAGATCGCGACCTGGAATGGGCAATATGACTGATCAGGATTAAATGGCAACTTGATAACGTTGATGACCCGAAATAAGGTATTATATTTTGACACTGCGTTTCCTTTTACTTGGTGACCTCTACGCCCTCACTGCTCAAACGGATTTCGTCGCAACCATGTATACTCAAATCCCATTTTTAATAGCGAACAATGCCCAATGCCCAGGCCATTTTCTTGAATACAATATTTTTTGCTTAGTTCGTTAGGCTCATCACGTCCTCTTTCGTGCCCCCCCCCCATCCCTCGCGACTCCGCACCTGTGTTTCCTGTGGCGCTTCTTGTTGGAGTGCTGGTGGTGGTGCGAGTCGGCCTCCGTGTCGTGGCCCGAGGGCTGGTAGCCGCTCTTATGGGTCAAGTCTCGTACGGTGGCGGTGTTGCCTCGGACCTGGCCCTGGCTGGCCTGTGCCTGCACCCACTGGGCGTCGTTCACCATGCCTCCGCCGGACCTGAAGGGAGAAGAGAGAACTTTAGGGTGGGATTTTTTGTTATAGTATTTCCTCCTTTTAGCGACAGAAAATGTCGAGTTAAAAATTTTAATATTAAATTGGTAGATTTGACTTCCAAAACATGGTCAAACCGAAAACGAAAACAAAGACAAGTCAACCACCACTCACTTGTGGCGGCGACGGCGGTGACGATGGCGGTGGTGGTCGGAGTCGTCGGAGTGGTGGCGGTGGCGGTGGCGGCGGTGCCCTCGCGACGAGCACTTACTGCTGGCCTCGCTCTCGCCATCAGAGGACCTGCCGCGGCTCCTGCGGTGCCTGTGGGAGGGGGAGGGGGAGGAGCCATGAACAAGAATTCTTGGGTCGTGTGATGAACGCAAGTAGGAAAAATATATAACTTGGTGTAAAAAAATAATAACAAAATACACTATCAAAAGCAAAATGTTCTCCGTACCTGCGATGTCCCCTCGAGTCGACGGACGACTGGCTGTCGACGCTGGAGGTGCGGCGAGACACCCTGTAGGAGTGCGAGTCGGGCGCGGGCGCGGCGGACCGGACCGAGCGGGGCGACTCTCCGCGCGAGGACCTGTTGAGGACGCTGCCGCCGCCTCCTGACGCGGCCACGCCGGCGGGGTACGGGGCGGAGCGGGTGCTGCGCGGGGAGTCGCTGCGGGGGGCCAGCGTCAGGAGGCGCTCCTGTACATGTGGGACACCCTGGGAGGGGGAGGGGAGAGGGGAGTAGGGGTGTAAAGAGAGAGTGAGAGATAAAGAGAGTCACAGAGAGAGGGGAGAAAGGGAAGCGTCATAAGAATATGTCAGAATACAATACATAAGACAAGTACAAACGATGCGCAATTACCAATACAGTGCCAATCAAACAGAGAAATGATATAACAATGTTAATAATATAATAATAATAATAATAATAATAATAATACCATTAACAATAACAATAAAAATATAAAAACAACAACAATAAGAAAAAAAAGTAAAACAGCGCCAACGTCGAAGCGACGCAGCTGACCAATACTCACGAGGTCACGGGCGTTGGCAGCTGCACGTGTTCCTGGTCTCGGGCTTGACCTCCACGTCCTCCACTCGCGGGCTGGAACAGGTCACGCCCAACACGTTAGGTCACAGCCGTCACGAGAGGTAAGCAAAGTCTATCTTGCACGCTATATGTTTAATAGGTCTTCCCCGTTTCTTTTAAATCTTAGTTGCAAGTTAATTCTTTTGCAATACTGACCTTTTGGGGGGAAACTTAAAAAAGACTATCTGTTCCTCCTCTCGAAATCCGCAATAAATAGTAATAATACAATGAAAAATGCATTAAAATGTAAAAAAAAAAAAAAAACTAAACACACAACAGGCGGTCGACGCAAACGAACTACTCACCTTTCGTTATAATCCAACACCTAAAAGGTTCTGAACGGTTGCATGAAGAGAAGATTGTGAGCATTAGGCATAAATTACGATTCCTGAACACATTTTTATTCACAACTGAACACACTATTTACCTTTCAACGCATCTAACACGACATTTTTTTTCAACAGATCATAAATAGTTATATTGTACGATCGAAGGCCATCTGCTACATAAAGTATAAATAATCAGTAATATGAATTAATCTTAGTTCATTTAATGTTCTCATTTATCAAAAGGAATAAATTATCACAAACACAAAACTACAGCAAAAATCCCCAGTAATTCACCTTTTCACCGTGTCCATCGAAAAACAACAATAAAAACAAAAGGACAACAGAAGTAATGAAAATCTACAATAAAACAATAACAATAAATAAACAAATAAAGGATAATAACGAAACTAAGAAAATTCTCTAGGAAGAAAGCTCCCCAAATTACTTTTAAGTCTCGAATCTCGACACAATTCGACAAGTACTTTCCCTAATTATACACTTGAATTAAAATCTGAACTTTAAATGCTACGCCACCTGAGGCCCTTATCTATAATTACCCAATAGAAGAGAGTCATTAAGTCATCTCGTTCTGTCCTTCCTCCTAATTGCGTAATCGCTATTTAATTTGGTAATTACATGTTTGTAAATGCTAAAATTTGGAAAGTGGGGAAGCATGAAATGAAGTGTTACTTAGAAAAACAATTTCCAGAATCAAAACAACCTTCCAGTCTTAAAGTCATTTTTGCTTTCCATTAGAAACTAATTCACCTCCGCAAATGATACCAAAACAAACTGACGTATAGAGTAGAGAATACTAAACAAAACAAAATGAAATAAGCCCGTAACCCCTTCATCCTTAATCTCCCTTCAATAACTCGCTCAATAATCGTAATATCAATTTCGCCTTAATTCCATTTATTACAATGGATATTCTTTGCTGTGATATGCCGTCTGTTTATTTCAATCTAGTGCCCAGAGAAAACGGGGCTCAAAAAATGCAAACTAAATAGGCCTAACTTACTATCCTGGGCTCCTTCGACGATGCGGCGCTGATACCTTCTGCTGGGCATCCTTGTGAACTCCGGCTGGGTCCTGGCGCCCACCTTGGCCTCCTGCGCCGCCTCCTTCTCTGTCCTGCCGCTGAAGGGGGAGGGGGAATTGCACGATGACTGAGAATTCAGACAATAATGTGCTGTATGTGAAGTCCTCTGACTCCTGCGAGCACTTTGTGATATGAAACAGATATAAATTCATGAAAGAATAAAACTAGATATTGCCTTTTTCACACAGCGTTTCACTATGGCTTATCTACACTCATTACCAAATATGCATCACATCTTGCAAACTACAAACCTATTCAAAATCCAACCAAAAAAATACATTAAACAAAGTTTTTTTTCTCCAAACCAGCCAAAGCACCCAAAAGCATTAAATTCTCCTCCCGGCAGCGGATGGCACCGTCTGGCACCGCGAACACACCTGTACCTGAACTTGGATCCCAGCGAGAAAAATGGCCGCGGGGAATTTCCGGAGGCTTGGGTCAGGCGGAAGAAGGCGTGGTGCTCGACGCAGCACTGCCACAGGTGCTTGCACGCGGCCTTGCTCGGCGTCTCGAAGCCGTACGTGTTCTCGGAGTTCTAGAACGAAAGGTGACAACATCATGAGGAGGGGATAAGGATGAGGATGAAGATGAGGATGAAGATTGATGAGGATGAGGATGATGATTGATGACGATAGTGATGACGGGAGTGAGGGTAATGGTGGTGGTGGTAGTGATGGAGGAGGAGGAGGAGGAGGAGGAGGAGGAGGAGGAGGAAGAAGAAGAAGAAGAGAAGAGAAGAGAAAGGAGAGAAGAGAAGAAAGAAGAAGGAGGAAGTAAGAAGAAGAAGAAGAAGAAGAAGAAGAAGAAGAAGAGAAGAAGAAGAAGAAGAAGAAGAAGAAGAAGAAGGAGGAGGCAGGAGGAGAGGAGGAGAGGAGGTAGGAGGAGGAAAAGTTGCTGCTGATGATGGCAACGATAATAGTGTTGATGATGATCGTGGAGATAACAATGATATAATAACAATTTCCGAATACACTGAAACAACAACCGCATATATTCCAAGGCCAAGAAATGAAAGTGTTCGCAAATACACATCTGACTTACATTCTTGTCGCGCACCCTCAGCATGAAGAAACGTCCCGGAAGTACACCTTGGAGATCCTCGGCCTGGGGAGAAAACCGCATTTTATATCACTGCTTAAGTACTGTCTTATCTCTCATCTTACATATATGGCCTGTTAGTAAAAGCTGCCTGTGTGCTTAAGTGCATTGTGTTTGCCAGAACACATGATGCTCTTTGTTAATTGTACACGCTGCATTAGGAAGTGCGCGCGCGCGCGCACACATACACATACACATACACACACACACATACACACACACACACACACACACACACACACACAAGCTGTTAACTCTAAAAACAGGATAATAATCATAATAAAATACATAATTTAACGAAAGACCAACGCCACGGCAGAATGGCTCGATCGCAAGTCTCAGCAAGTTGCAGTGACGCTGCACTGCAATAAAGACAATAACGAAGCGCGATAACTAGAAAGATTCGCATGCGAGAACGCCAAACCCATTAACAATAACTAGCGAAGACTTGCTCAACCGCTAATTTACAAGAGCGCTTTTTCCCGCTATCCGATAAGCGGGCGTTATTTTATGAAAAGCTCTAAAATCGGGAGGAACGTAAATATAATTTATTCAGCACTAATTACTGTGATAGCGGTAAAGAAGGAAAAAAGCAGAAAAAAACGGACTGAATAAAACATGAGATAGGAGGATAATGTTATAGTGTCCACACGGGGCGTCGTTTTTTTTTTTATCAAGTTTGTTTAATAATGAAAAAATAGTGACGGAAGATACAATAGCGGGCAGCAAGTTACGAATACGACAAAACAAATGACTCTACATACAATAAAGACAGATAAGCCCGTGGCAAGCACTGCAATCTCGACTTTTTATTTTTTTACAAACTGGCGATAAAGTTACTGCTGCATTGTGATAAAAGTTTATGTTCGGATGCTACGGCCCAGGGAGAGGTGTTTTAGGGGCGAAGGCAATCTACTTACGAATCTACAAGGAAGCTGACGCGTTCCTTGTCAGTGCGATCGAAGAGAACAAATGGGATAGAACATTTATTCTTAAACATACACAATAATGTGGCAACTTATGTATACAGGCTGATACTTTAACCGTTTCAAAATTTCGGCGATAATCAGCGATAGATAAAACGATAGATACAAAAGCGAAAACAGAGCCAGGAAGGGCCGGGAGCCCCCGTTAAGGGAGGGAGGCGGGAAGGCGTGCGCGAGGGGGGGGGGGGGCGTTAAGTGGAAGAGCACTTAGGGCAAGCCATGGCGTGTACATCTGGCGAAGGGAGTGGTGGTTACTGTCACTTCTCTTATAATGGGTAACAAAGATACAGGTAAGTACTTTGAGCGTGAAAGAGATACGAGTAATAGCTTCGCATGCTCGCTAGTGTCGCCAGGTTTTGGGGCGTTATAAACAAAGAACGTTCATCCACACGCACGCGCACGCACGCACACACAAACAAACAAAAAACGAGCGAAGTTCTTGCAGACATTCATACCCTCTAAACTCGTTCTGAAGAGTTCACTAACTCTTTAAAAATGTCCTTAAGCTAGCGACGACGGTTTTCCATTAAACTTCAATAACAATTTAAATAAATTATAATTTACAACGTCTCCTACAGATCCGTTCGGACTTAAATTTTGGGGTACTCGCGAGACTTTGATTATAGATGACATAAAACCTTTATAGAGGCAGTGACCCCCGTCCTCTGCGCCTTAATTTGGATTAGGAGGACCCGAACCCCCGCGTACAGGTCGACTAGGGAATCGAACACGTCAAAACTATCGCTGATTCGCCGGAAGAGAAGTCGTTCGAATGCCATCGAACCTGAAAAAATAAGTTTCTGGATGATATTTAGCTAAAAAATTCTAAAATTCTGTCTGCTGTCGAGATCCTTGACAATAAGGACTGAAAACACATTTTTACTCCCATTCATAAAGGATTGTCGATGTCGCTGTGTTCTCGCCAAAAAAAAAAAGAAAACGGATTCACATATATTTTTTTTCTATTTGCAGAACCAGATCGTCTGATAATGGTAATAAGCTCAATAAAAGCGGTAAATGGGTCCACAAGGAAGCAATAAAACAATATATAATGACAGATATGGCCACGCTGCCAGATCCGCATCATGAACCTCATCACCCAGCCGGTTATATGACCTTCTTGCCCGCACCCCTTACCTGTATAAATAGGATGTTTTTTTGTGCGTCTGTCTTAGGGACAGCAAAGGTATAAACAGATAAACAGATAATGAGTGAGTGAGTGAGTGAGTGAGTGAGTGAGTGAGTGAGTGAGTGAGTGAGTGAGTGAGTGAGTGAGTGAGTGAGTGAGTGAGTGAGTGAGTGAGTGAGTGTGTGTGTGTGTGTGTGTGTGTGTGTGTGTGTGTGTGTGTGTGTGTTGTGTGTATGCGCGCGCGCGCGTGTGTCACCTAATCAAATACTTTAATCACAATCCGAGTAAAAAGAATAATAATTATAAAACAAGCATACACCCCTCACAGACAGCACTCTACAACCAACACACACACACTCTGAACCGAGAGCCTCTACCAACCTATCACGCACGCACGCACGCACGTACGCACACACACAACACAAACACACCACACCACACACAAAACAAAGCACGACACAACAAACAAAACACACACCACACACACAGCACAAACACACACCACAACACAAGCACAAACAAACACACACACACACACACGCCCTCGCCGAAAACTGGCACCCCCACCCCGTCCCCAACAGCGCCCGCCACGCCCGCGCAGCCAGGGCCACCAACTCACCAGAAGTAGTTCCCCACTTTGGCCTTGTTCCTCAGCACGATGACGCCCGAGGGAGTCAGCCCGAGGAAGTACTCGATGTTGTCCTCGCCCTGGGAAAGAAAAGGAA